CCACTAATAATATTTTCAATAGATTTATCTGGTAATATTTTATTTATATTGTGTACCAAGTACCAACATATACAGTAGATACACTATTTAGAACTTTTCTTCATACCTCATTATAAATCATTTCTGCTTGTTGCTTGGTCTCACATTTCTTATACTTTTGTCTGATTTTTCAGATATTCCTGTACTTCTTAGACTTTTTAAAATCATTGCTCTTTACTTTTCTATTAATACTTTATCATTTAAACATTATTTGTCAGTTCATTCATTTTCTAGCTTTATATCAAATTATTTGAGTGTTTCATTCATTGTACAATTGAGAAACCTGTCAATTTCTTGTGACCACTTTAAAAATGTAACACAAGAAGTATCATTAATTATTAATCCATCCATCATATTCACAACCATATTTTTCTTCCTTTTTCTTCTTTTTTTGATAATCAAAAGTAACAGCGAGTTCTTATGTATACTAAGAAACCATTCAGTACCATTTTTTCAAAGGATTCAAAGAAACACTTTTATTCATGCACGATCTATTACGCTAAACCATAATGACAGACAAGTACAGCGATGTCTAGAGAAGAGTACAGTAAGTCAGTTATAAAATCGTTACTTAAAATCAATAGGCGGTGACTTATACACACAGAAGTCTATCATTATCTGTACAAAAACTTTGAACATGTTAAGATGACTCTGGGGCAAGGGTCACATGAATGTTAAAACAGAAAAAAATGTAAACCTGAAAGTGGTTTAGTAGACCTTCAGAGTAAATTCGGACCTAATGCCAAACTTCCTCTACGAGGCCAAGCTGTGTAAAATTCATTTACATCTCGCATGTAAAATTCATCACCTGTTATATTAACCAACCCATGTCATCCCTTTACATGTTCAGCTATTCTATGGAAAATAAAATAATAAGATGAATTTATTAACCCTATGGATTTCATTGTTTTTTTCATAATCTACATCCATTGGTATGATATACTCTGCATTTTAAAACTGATAATAATAAGACTATGAAGTAACCAATAAATCTTAATGGCATTGTAACATGAAAGGAAGCCATTTATATAATAGATTATAGATAATTTCTATATGTATATTGTATATATATATATATTTCAATCCATAGGGTAAAACAGAAATCTTGGAGCTATGTACACAGAAGAGCCAACACCATTAAGCATATATATAGAGATATATATACATCACATACAAGGAAAAAAAGATAAAAACTGGAATACACATCAATAAAACTCTTTAAGCCTTACTCCTACAAACACAAAAACTGACGTGGCAACTAGCAAAAAGCCTTGTAAAAACTAATACATCATAAAATACTTTGTACTATGGCATAAAATATCAAATGACACTTCTCTGCTATGAGGTCTTCAGTGTACTTGGTTGGCAATGGCATATAAAAAATCATCTCTTTGAATACGAAATGTGATGCTTCCACAGGTGTCCTTTTTATATTGCATAGGCAATTGTGTTGTGAAGAAGAAAAAAAAGTCTTGAATACAAATGAAAGACAGGTAGTCACTGAAATATACATGGTGTCATGCCACCACCCTATTCTCTCGTCCCGTCTTGTACAAAAAGGGACCTTAATAGTTGAGGTAGACTTTTCACTACCTAAAAGGGCAATAACAAAATGTTGACGGCCAATACTAAACATAAAAAAACAGAAACCAAACAATTTTTTTTCAAGTCAATCTTTTTTTCTCATTTTGTTAATGTTCACTAAAGCTATATATATATAAAAGAAGTGATTAAAATGAATTCAGGCTTTAAGACTGGGGTCGGCAAAATCCTCAGAAAATATGCATGTGCCCAGGTCTTCCTATGTACAAAGGGAATGACGACCATTTCCCAGGTCGTTACTTCTATTTCTAAAATCTAATTGTGAGGAACAGCACTGAACGTGTTTCCTCAAATCAACATTTGTGCAACCAAAGGCCATTTCCTCTTCTTACATTTTGATATCTCTTGAAAGTGTATCTCATCCACTGTTCTTTTAAAAACGGGGAGGGGGGAATGGGAAAAAAGTTTTGCAGTCACACCTCTTTCTTTTTTTAAATTTTATGGCAACAATAGCACCAGAAGTGAAGAGAGCTTTTTTGCTTTTATGGAATATATTAATAAAGTCTGTACATTCTCCATAAATGATACACTATCTAACTCTAAGCAATCAGAGATCATTTGTTATAAAATCTATTTAAAGCACTCATTTGGTAGTGGACACTGGACTGATCTTATCCCTGTTACTATGGCTATTGTTTCACATTATTACTTCAGGATTAACAGTTACTGGCAGCTGCATGGTGTGCACACTTGGCCTAGGAAGTGTGCACACCCGGTACAGTATTTCAGAATCCTAAAAGTTAATGTCACATTACTAGTTCTATTTAAAGTAGTAGTAGTAAAAAACCAAGCTATTCAATATGAATGGAAAAACTAAGCACACGTCAATGCATGATGAAAATTAGTTATGAAAGACAGATCGTGGGAGGGTTCTTGTCAACCCGCATAGTCCATCTACCAGACCCTTAGTAATGAGCAGTTCTCATAGCCTCTTGATATTCAAATTGTGTACTTTAATATTGTTTTCTACAGATTAACAAGTATATTACATGATTAAGAAAAAAAAAAGGGTTATCATAAAAATAAAATGGATATCAGTATAAACATCACAACACAGCTATATACTGGTAATGCCACTCTTTATGGAAAAAATATATAACAATGATAAAATGGCAGTGGTGTTTACAAAGGACGGTCTGGCCACCTTCACTGAGGAGTGGAGAATTCTGGCTCCCTCTTCCCTCGCAGTTTCTGGCTTGCATGCCT